GCGTAACAACGAGGCATACAAACTTCAGACCACTTCAAATCTTGTTCTCTATTTGCGTTATTTTCTTTCGAATTTTATTGGTCTCTTTCTGTCACAACATTCTGGCCTAGTTAGGGTTAGTCCCTGCATTGGGTTAGAAATGATGCCAGCACCCAAAACCCAAACATTAGTTCAAACCAAGTGGGGAATGAAGATCAGTGGCCACAACCCAACAGAACTAAAAAACTTTAAGGAGGATTGGGTGGTTGGAGGGTGAAAAAATAAAAAGAAAATACCAAAAGGTGGACTAGTACTAGTAGTGGCCCATATATAGCCCATCAAGTACTGGTCCATTCAATGAATGGTCCTGAACAATAAATGGGTGAATCATCCATTCATCTCGAAGCATCAATTACGGAACTCTTTCATTCAAGTCTAGCATTTGCAAATAAAAAAGTAAATACTTAAACTGTTTCTATTTTCACCAGCCATGAATGAATTCAAGAAGGAAACCAGTCAGTGGTCCCCCTCAAGAAGCCAGTTCAAGTGAATTAATATAATTAATAACTTGGCAAGACTGGCCATCTCAATATTACTTTCTGAGTTGATTGAATATGGTTTTCTTTTAATGCTCTTTTCTTTCTATTTCCCAAAGACACTCATTCCTCCAGGCTCTATCTCCCTTTCATTGTTAAGAGACTCTGGACCACCCAGTTGTTTCCATCTAAGCTCATTAAGGAGAAAAGAACCCTGAGGAGAAAATGACTGATACATCCAAAGGCCCCATCAAACAAATCTGGCTACTCATCTAGATCTCATTAGCATCAGCATGCTTCACACTAGAGATGTCAATGGGTCAGGTTTGGTAAGGATTTAGTTCATCCTAAACCCGACCTAAAGTTAAAGGCACTCTAACCCAAACCTGATCTGACCCGTCTAAAGAAAATGGAAACCCAAACCCAATCTGCCACACCTATATATTCCAAGGTTCAAATTTTTTATGTAATATGCTCTGTATTAGGCGTATCGTATTGTATTGATAGGTCTAAGATATAATTTAGAAGGCTTTTCAAAAAAAATGTGTTATTTTTAATACTTAAATAACAGTATTAGAAGCCCCATGTGAAAATATGAAATTTAAATAATAAAAGGGTTTTTGACTCACTCGAAACACCCAATATGCATGTTCATGTGTATCGGGTGTATCAATACTTTGAACCATGCCCTATACATAATATACCTATACTCAACCAAGGCCATCTATTATTATATTAAAGCAGAATCGTCTGATGTGGCATTTATCTTTTTTTCTCATTTTTTTGGCATAATTCTACGTTGCCATTTCTTTAAACAAGGAATAGGAATCAAGGAGATTTCCATGTTTTATGAGTTTTTCAAGCAGTATCTAAGAGAGAGTGAAATTAATGGAGAGTTGGGCTTGGAGACTTTCAATCAGCCATTTAGTATTAAATGATAGCCTGATAGGTGAGTATTGCTTTTTAGAAGAGTTCTTAGATTATACCGATTGTATTATAGAGATTACTAATAATTAAAGATAATTTATTACTCATATATAACTAAGTATTATTAATAGGTTATATTTATATGATAATTTTTTATTTATAAATAGTACATAATTAATTATAACTTAATTAATTAAACTCAATAATTTAATTAATTATAACTCAATTGGCCCACACATATTTATATTATTTATACATATTTGTGCTATTTGTGTTGTTTTTTATTTATATATAAATATTATAAAGTGATACTTAAAATACATATAATGTATGATGTTTTTACTACAAAATGTATAAAATAATTTTTGTAAATGTTGCTGCCAAGGATGGCCAAGGGCAACAAGGCACTTTCACTTCCTTAGCCGAGGGCTGGTGTGTCTAAGGGCTGACGAAGTTCAAGGCCTATAGGTCTGACTTGTGAAGAAGGAAGCACGTCAGAGGCCCCAAGTGTTATCCCAGGGGCGGAGACTCCGACAGTTAAGTTAGTAAACGCGCAATAAGGAGGTTGGACGAGGCCTGAGGAAAGAGTGCTCAAACGAAGTCACCCAAGAAGTAGAGAGCTTGAGAGCAGAAAGAGTAAAGATAGCTTACCTAGGGAGTGATGCCACTTATTTATTCTTGAGCTCACCTAGAGTTGGTTAGCAGCGAACGGCCAGAATTGCATCTGACCAGTGCCACATGGCACCATCTTAGGCCTTGCCACATGCGCCTACATCAGTAAACATAAAATTCATAGGCTCGGAATTAGGTTTAGCTGTACTTGGGGGCTAGGCTATAGCCCTTATTACAATTGCTAAGCCCATCCTAGACCCGTGTACGACTAGGTGCGGGTTATGCTTCTGGCCCGAAACATAGGTCAGGCTTGAACCTAGGCCATAGCCCTATAATATGTGTTAACCCAGCCCAAGTCGGCCCATGACCACAACTATTTAGCTTCCATCCATTTTAATTCTAATTAATACAAGTCAATTAATAAAACAAAAAAACATTATTAAGAGATTGTTAGTTTTGAAATTAATTTTATAATTTAATATCCACTAAAATTACATTTAAAAACCATGATAAAATTTAATAAATATGATAACAATAAACTAAAATGCATACTTAATAAGAATAATAAATATATTTAAAAAATTATTGACTTTAAAGTCCATTTAAAATATTAACATTAAAAATTCTAATAAAAACAATAAAATTTACTACAAAATTAATAAAAAAATAGTACTATGAATTTATTAATAAAATTAATAATGTAAGAAACTTATTAGTTATAAATTAACAGAAAAGTAATTTTAACACTAACTTATCTAACAATACATAATCAAAAACTAATGATTGAATTGAACTCGATTTCCCTTAACCCTCTCATTTGGAAATGTCATAAGACCTTTTTCCACAATTACTTTTGACAAAGTCCAAGTATCACATGGGTCCCAACTAGCTTTTACAATTGTTGCAATGTTGCATATCAACTGATCGAGTCCAGCACAGAAGAACCTCAACCTGAATCTGACCCAAAACCCTACTAAGGTTGATCCCACCCAAATCTGATAGGATCGGGTCAATGTAAATTTACCACTTTAACCTGACCCACTGACATCCCTGCTTCATACTAAATAATTGCTAATTTCTATGCTATATAACTCAACAATGGGAACCCTAAAACTTGCCCGAAAATATGGCTCAGTTTGAAAAGAATACAAATACAAATTTGTAGAGTGAAAAACCTTATATTTTGTATGTATTTGCACTGTATATATTTGTATTTGTACTCCTTCCAAAAGTAAGCCTAAAGAGATCTATTCAAAAAATGTTTCTTACAACTTTTTGCACTCTTTTTAATAGATTCTAGGGAATCACCTTCACTGGTATAGAGGAGTAAGCTGCAAATCAACAACCAGAATCCTAAATCTACAACTATCCTACTCTCTTTGCATATATGTGGAAAAATAAAGGTCCGTTCTCACATAAGAAAATGTAGATTCAAGTCTTAGCAATCCTTAATGACCCCACACACAAGCACACAGAGTTCAAAAAAAAAAAAGGTTTAAAAAGAACCCAAGATCTTGTCATGAGTAATTTGGAGCAAGATAATGATCTATAGATATAATGGTTCCATGAGCCCACTCTGTTGTATGATTAAAACCCATCTGGTCTATTACATAAAAATGTAAACAATTGATGGTTAGGATCATTCTTTAGTTAAAAGAGATTTCCCAAATAGGAGAAGGTGACAGATAAGAATGGTGAGGGTTTGTTGTTCAGTTGTTATGATCTATAATATTAAAGAAATATAAACAAAACAAAACTGATTGGTTATTCACTTTCCAATGAGATCTCAAAAGACCAACATGCTCTCAAGTGTCCCAGTCTCCAAAAACCCACGAGCACTCTCTAAAACAAAGAATAAAATAGAATTAAGAAAAGATTACTAGTCCCACAATCCACTTCCCCAACCTAGAAATTCCGGCACTAGTGTATCTTAACAGAAATAAAATAGGAGATGTTCCCAAGAGTGGAGCATTATGGATAATGATTCTCTATAGCCACAAGATAACAATGGCCATCAGGATCATTGATCAGGACCATCCAATGGATGAATGGTTTCAAAGATAATGACAAGCCCAAAGTCAGAACTGTGGGCCTCTCCATGCTCATTTACCCTATAAATTCCTTCCTTTCCATTACCAAATAGATGGCAAAATTAGGAGTGGGTAAAAAGGGTTAAACTTGAATCTTCTTATGCATCCAAATCTTATCTCAGCTCTGGATCAGACCCTTGGGTCCTCCCTGTGCCATGAATGAGAGAAATAAAAGAGATGGCCCACGTGTTGAATGGTTTGATCAATAAATCAGTGGGCTTATTAATCTGTAATGGGTGTAGGGAACATCATATGTTCCATCACAAACAAAATATTATTTATCTATAAGAAATAGAATGTCTGGTAGCCTAAAAAGACGAATTTTGCATAGTAGACAGAAATAATTCTCAATACATGGAACCCCATCATTAATTCCCTCCCCTTTAAAGAATCAAACCAAAATAAAATATCTAGGAGAAATAAGCTACAGATTTCAATGGAGAAAAAAATAAGAAATAAAGAAGAAGAAAAAGTCAGTAGCTCGAGGAATGAGAAAAAAAAGGAAGAAGACAAAGAGCACTAGGATCAAAAGAGAAGGGAACTCAAACCAATATTGAAGAATAACAGGAAGAACTTCAGCCAAAGCAGTCAAACTTTTCTCAATCAAATAAGCACAAAAAAGGGGAGAAAACTTTTTAAAAAAAATGAAGCAATAGTAGCGGAGAGACACTTCTTACTAGCAAAGACCCATGTTTTGATGATTTCATACAGACATCTTTGAAGGGGTGCAAGAGGAAGGAAACACAGAAAGGGAAGAAATAAATAGAGAAAACCCATCAAGACTTTTATGTTTGTTGGCTTGAATTGTTGGTTCTTTCTCCCACTCTCCCCCCCCCCCCCCCCCCCCCCCCCCCTCTCTCTCTCTCTCTCTCTTTGTTTTCTTTTTTTACTCTCTTTCCTTTCTCTCCCTTTCTGCCCATTAAACTATGAAAATGGCAGATTCCCAATCATCCTTTCCCCTCTATTGGAAACACCCATCATTGCCCCCATCCATCCTTTTCACCATGGAAACCTGAGCTTTTAAGCCATTCCCTTCTTCCTTCCCTGTTTTCTTCTCCTCGTTCTTCTTCCTATTCTTCCACTCCTTGGAAGGTTGTCTGCTTCTTTCAATTTAAATATCACCCTACTGATCACCTTTTCTTCTGCACGCCTTCCTTTCCACCTTCTTACAATGGATCCTTCATCCACCACCTCTGTCAATGGCTTCTATACCTTTCTCACTCGTGGGATCGACGATCTCGAGCGGTCGTTCCTCTCCAACAACTTCATGTCCATTCAATTCCTTCAAAGGGTCCTCTCACTTCTTCGGTCCTTTCATTCCCAGTTAACCATTTTGGTTCAAAAGCTTCATCTACCCGTAGGAGAGAAATGGCTGGACGAGTATATGGACGAGAGTTCAAGACTGTGGGAGGCCTGTCATGTTCTCAAGTCTGGCATCTCCGGCATGGAGAATTACTATCTTGCCGGGGCGGAGATTGCCTCCTCCCTCGACGGCCATCACAACCTCAGTCCCCAACTCTTGAGACAGGTTTGAATTTGATCAAAAATCAGAGAAAAAAAAAGAAAAAAAAAAACGAAGAAGAATTAGCATAAGTTGCTCTTCATTTTTACTATTTAGAAGCAATGAATTGAATTGATTTCTTCATTCTCATAATTCTTGTTACAGGTCATTCGGGCAATCTCTGGTTGCCGCAGAGAAGTGGTAGGATTGGAAGAGGAGAACAGGGCCTTGATGGAGACCAGAATCCAGCCTCTGTCACTAAGGTTCGACGAGAATGTATCCATTGAATCCAAACTCAATGGATTCAATGGCTTCCGGGGAGTCCTGTATGCAATGAGGAACGTCAGCTCACTTCTTCTGATGATCTTGCTTTGTGGTTTGGTCTACTGCTGGCCCGAGTCGAGCTTTCGCCGAGGAGGATATGAAGGGTGCTTGTTCTTCGGCTCTGCTTTCATGGTTTCCACTGCAAGGTTGCAGCAGAGGGTAGCAGCAGAGATCAACAGAATGGATGGGCGCCCAGGAATTCTGCTCTACGAGTTCCGAAGAGCAAAAATGGCAATGGATGAGCTAAGAGCAGAATTGGAGAGGTCTCAGGGACTTGGGGAGTGTGAATCAGAGGTTAGTATTAGAGAGAGGGTGGAGAACTTAGAGGGTTGTTTTGGGTTGTTGAGATCTGGGATAGAGAGTATTATTGGGCAGCTTGATGACTTCTTTGATGAAATTGTTGAAGGAAGAAAGAAGCTTTCAGACATTTGCAGTCACAGGTAGAGAAGGAAGATTAAAATAGAAGGGGAAGAATCAGTTGTTAGGGCGGTTGATCTGTTACCTTTTTCTTTTTTTTCTTTTTTTTTCTTTCTTGTGTTCTCTTTGTTTTGCAGCTACTATAGTTGATGATTTTGAAGAACTTGGAAAAAGGCAATTTTGAGGGAAAAATAATATGAAATGTGATATGGCTCCCAGGGAAAGGAATCAAGGAAACATCACCATCCAGAAGAACAAAGGAAGAAGAATATTAGATGGAAGCTTCACTAGAAAGCCATGTTTCTCCCACTCCCGTCCAAACAACAGTTTCTTCTCCCTGTATAAAGAAATATTATTATATTTATTAATCAAAAGGAAAAAAACAAGGAAAATATGCAACTTGTTATTGTCATTATCAAAAACAAGAACCGGCATTACAGACAACTCCCATGTTATATGTATGAAATTATGATATTATTGAGAGGATTTCAAAGGAAACGAGAAAAGAAAGAATTTGGGTTGAAGCTTTCTTTAATAATTGCCTTGTTTTTTATTGTTTGTTTTCTCACTCTTTTAACCTGTTTATTGTTGGAGAGTGGAGACTTTGAGTTCCTACTTGGTTCTTTTTATTAGTATTTACATTTTTTTAGACTTCAGTTATCTATTCATTTATTAAGTTGGGATGCTTTTTAGGGTTCTTTAGCTGTTCTAGTAAATGACTAATCATTTCATTTGTGAAAGAATGATGAAATGAGGGACACTGGGGACTGGAGATTCCTGGGCCGCTTTAAATTCAAAAGCGCTCTTTTTCCTTGTAGAAGCTTGTCTGATTCGGTTCCTTTGAAAGCAATGGAGTTGATGATGAAAGCTTCTCAACATTCTGACATGTCCCCTCTGCTTAGTTCGTCTCTCTCTCTTTCTGGACATGATCTGATTCGGTTCCCTTCTCTTTTTCATTGCCCATATTTTCCTTTCTCGGGCTCTGCAATATGTAGTAGGTTGATAGGCTCCCTCGTTAACTGAATATGGCTTCCCCTTTTTCAGCTTTCAATTTCATGCATCCCGTCCCCTCAGGAAATTGATTCCTTTCACTTGGAAAGGTTTTCTTTCTGTCAATAAAAGAGTTGAGCAAAATGAATGGAGAAAAAGGAGAAAGAGTGAAAGAAAAAGGATAACACAGAATGGAAAAGTTTGTTGTTGGTGGCTAGTGGGACATCAAGAAAGAACCCAGAACCAATAATCAAGAGATTCACTGCTCTTCCCTGCAATACAAGTGACCCATGACATAATACTGTTCCTTGTCTCTACCACTACCACGACAGGAACCTGGTCTACATCTGCCTTCAATCCTTAATTGAGGAACCATAATACAAATAATTAACAGCTAAACTGAGCCATGCAATAATAAATTATTCGCTATCAACATCAAAAGCTGGCTACAAATCTTGACCCCGGCCAAGCTCTGATCATCCAATCAGTGCAACTTCTTAAGTTCCGAGTAGTAGCTTTATACAAATACTTCGACTGACCAATGGTCACAATTCATAGTCGGCATTAAGCCATCAAAAATCGATGAACTGCCCACAATGGTCGAACAATAAGCCTACCAGGATGGATGGACCAACTCAAACCATAAATAAATTGTTACAGATGGCTATGGCAATCAAACGAACCATGCCACATAGCTTCCTTCGGTGTTCTTTCCCTTTCCAAACCCCTCACCCAACCCTAAGAAAAATAAGAAAAAAGCCAATAAATAAATAACCAGGTCTGTCCTCAAATTTGTAATTCACTTTTTTCCTTCTTTATTTTCTGTAAGGCCGAGCTGTGATTGACAGCTAATAGAGAAGCCCACAAACTATGTATACAGATATACTGAAAACATTTTAACACCTGTACAGCAACGACTCCAGAAGATGTTATTTGCACGCACAGTTGTTATAATGTAAAAGGTGTAGAAACACCATCATGACAGTGGTACATATCTTGTGGCTCAAAGGCGTAACAGCAAACATAACCTGCAAAATCTGGCCGAGACATCAAGCGTGGATTATCTTTGTAACAAACAAAAAGAAATCCAATCCATCCTTTTACCGGGCAATGCCATTTAAGCCAGCGGGTGAGCAGGGACAAAAGTTTCCCGTTCTGCAACCAAATTGTGATCCAAGTTCCAGTTGAACAGAATGAGTACAGACATTCCGAACACCATCATTCCGGGGGACACCAAAACAATTACAATCAAATGAAAAAGAAATAATGACTTCTGTATAATTTACAAAATCATGTAAGGTCAGACAATACAAAAGGGTAAATAATACGCCATATAGCAGATGAAGTAGAATACAGTATTGGGTGACCTGAAATTTACAGAGGTAGGGAAAGCAACTTGGGACAGTATTTGAATTTGGATGTATTAACATGCAGACCTTTGTCAACCAAGAAAACAGGATTATGATGTTTATATCCACAAGGCATCTCTCAAACATGTTCAAACATCAGATCCAGGCATAGCAAAATGAGATGCAAAAGACTCGACACGGGACCGGAGTTCAAGAATGTCCTTGTTGTTCTGGAGACCCTTGAGAAAATCCTTCTGCAATTTTCCATGTTCTCTCTGCACAGCACTTGCAATCTGAGCTGCCCTAACGAGGAAATCAGCTATTGTTTCAAAATCAGACTCCAGACAACCTCTTGTGGTCATAGCAGGAGTACCTGAAAATACAGGAAAATCATTAGCACCTGATACTCTCTCATAAACCACAATAATACAAGTTTTAATGAGTAAGCAACCAATAATAAGAACATTACGTACCAATTCTCACACCTCCAGGAGAAATAGCACCATTATCACCGAATATAGCATTTTTGTTGAGAGTAATATGACACATCTCACAGACTTTCTCATAGTTCTTACCTATCAAGGAAAAATGAAAATAAATAAGGGTGAACATCAATTCTCAAATGCAAAAGCATCATATTACAGTAAAAAAACAGTCCAAAATATCAAACTGTGTTATGGACCCGGGCGTAGGATCTCGTCACGGGTCGGTCCACGGGGAGAACCTCTAACTTCCCCTTGCCCCTCCCTTTGCGTGCAGACCCTATTGTGGCAACCTAATGGGTGATTTGTCCAAGAGATCACCCGAACTCTCCTTGCTCTTCCCTTGACTGAAAAACTGAATGCCTTTATTCCCAATTCACAGCTCCTTGAATAGGAGATTACAAGAGGTGACTCCTTATTGAATTCGACTAGGCTAGGATAATCCAACTTTAAATCAAACTCCTACTTCTAATAGGTAAACAAACTCCTACTAAGAACAGAAAACAAACTCCTATTTCTAATAGATAAAGTAAGAATAGATGGGATAAGGTAAGCTGGTGAAGAGCTGGCACGATAAGCTGTCGTGGCAAGATAAGTTGTCGCGTGGGCCCCTCCTCATTGCTGCTGCCGCCCTCCTCATTGCTGCGGCCGGCGGCGGTATGTCTTTCCCACGAATGCATCCATAACATCACACCCCTCCTGGGCAACGAGCTTGTCCCCAAGCTCGAGATCTGGATAGGCGTTGTGAAGATCAGACCAGGGAATCCAGGTGGCCTCAGCTGATGGTAGTTCGTCCCACTCCANTGAAGATCAGACCAGGGAATCCAGGTGGCCTCAGCTGATGGTAGTTCGTCCCACTCCACTAGGACTTCTAAGGTACCCCGATTGACGCGGGACCGGACAAGAGCCCGAGGTTGGAGAATGGGTCTGCCGTCCTTTAAGGGTGGTAGGGGAGGTACCTTATCAGGAGGAGTCCCTGTAAATGGCTTGAGTAAGGACACATGGAAGGTATCATGGAGTCTGCTGTGTTTTGGTAGCTCGAGTTGATATGCAATCTTCCCGATCTGTCATAAAATCTTGAAGGGCCCGTAGAATTTGGGAGCCAGTTTAGGAAAGCTCTGCGTCTGAGGGAGTGTTGCCGATAGGGTTGGAGCTTTAGCCATACGAACTGTCCGGGTTCAAAGATTAATTCTCTGTGGCGCTGATCGTAGGCGTTCTTCATGCGTGCCTGAGCCTGCTGCAAGTGTAGGGAGACTTCGGCTAGGAGGGCATCGCGGTCCTGTAGGCTTCAATCCACTTCTTCCAACCATGTTGAACCGGGTTCGTAAGACAATAGACAGGGAGGGTCCCGACCATAAACAACCCGGAAGGGGGTCATGCCAAGAGAGGAGTGATAAGATGTGTTGTAGCAGTATTCGGCCCACGGAAGGTACTCCACCCAACGCCGTGGCTGGTCTCCCACAAAACAGCGGAGGTACATCTCTATTGTTCGGTTTACCACCTCCGTTTGGCCGTCAGTCTG